TCCCTCGTAAATAGCAGTCGATTTCTTCACTTCCCATGTTTAACTCCGTTGTAGTCTAATGGCTGATAGAGGAGATAATTTTTGCATAGGGGCCGGAAAATCCTAGCTACGCCACTGTATGTGGCGTGGCTGACAAATGAGACACATTTGGGGTGAAGACACATCGCTCAACTCTGCCCTCAGATGCTCTTATAATTATCTGTCGATGTAAAAAGTCACACGCGTACTCACCACGGAGTTGAAACTGTGTCCGATATTTAGAACAGAGACATGTCTCAGCAGATTTAAATTAATTTGTTCCAATATTGAACATCAATTTAATACCTCGTCTAATTATTTACCTGAAGTAACTCAACACCTCTACTAATTATTTAAAGTGTACTCAATCAAACACCTCGTCTAATTATTTACCTGAAGTGTATTCAATCAACACTTCGTCTAATTACTTACCTGAAGTGTACTCAATCAACACTTCGTCTAATTACTTACCTGAAGTGTACTCAATCAAACACCTCGTCTAATTATTTACCTGAAGTGTATTCAATCAACACTTCGTCTAATTACTTACCTGAAGTGTACTCAATCAACACTTCGTCTAATTACTTACCTGAAGTCTGAAGTGTACTCAATCAAACACATCGTCTAATTATTTACCTGAAGTGTATTCAATCAACACTTCGTCTAATTACTTACCGGAAGTGTATTCAATCAACACTTCGTCTAATTACTTACCGGAAGTGTATTCAATCAACACTTCGTCTAATTATTTACCTGAAGTGTATTCAATCAACACTTCGTCTAATTATTTACCTGAAGTAAACCAGACGCAGAGTCTGCAAATCGCCCAAGTCTGGATTACTTTTTACTTATCTACATTTTTATCTGAATGTTTGTATTATCTACTTTTCTATCTGAATGTTTGTATTTATCTACTTTTCTATCTGAATGTTTGTATTTATTTACGTCTGTATCTGAAATGCTTGTATTTATCTACTTCTCTATCTGAATGTTTGTATTTTACTACTTCTCTATCTGAATATTTGTATTTATCTACTTCTTTATCTGAATATTTATGAACACAGACTCCGCCTTTTACTATTTACAGGGTTATAAAACATTTTTTTGTCCTTTTTTTCTGCAATGGAGTGTCTCTAAAAAAATCAATGGGATCTCACACTTGTGTCAGACAACTGGCCATTAGCTCACCCACACTGCTCTACTCTACACATCTAGACTAAGTACTCGTGACCTTTTGAACAATCATTACTTGACGTTTCAAACAATCATCACTTGAAGTTTTAAACAATCATTACTTGACGTTTCAAACAATCATTACTTGACGTTTTAATCAATCATTACATGACGTTTTAAACAATCATTAAATGACGTTTTAAATAAAACAATCATTACATGACGTTTTAAACAATCATTAATGACGTTTTAAATAAAACAATCATTATTTGACGTTTGCAAATAATCATTATGAAAACTGTTTAGCCTATCCTGCCAGAGATTGTTGTGCAATAAGATTTATCCTTGCGTGCACTCAGGACGAAGACTGGGGCTTACCATTCAATTTAAAAAAAATCTAATCCATGAAGTAAATAGACTTGTGTACAAATTCTCTCCCCTCATATCTACCAATTTTATTTATTTATTTGACCAACTTTTGGTAATCTTAGTAAAAAAAAAAAATTAAAATTTGAGAAATGTCATTGCCGGTGATTTAATATTCCCATGATGTGTGTGGTGCTCGGGGACACTTGCACTGGTCAGACTTTTAGATCACCGTCCAGAAGCGCACGGTTCCTACAGGGTAACCAATTGTATGGGCATACATAAATAATGGTGTCGCATATGGGACAGATCCCCGAAGTATTAAACTCACACCCAGTGTGATCGGGTGGGTGGGGGAGGGTTGGGGTGTGAGGTACAGCTGAAAGAATGAAGTCAAACAGGTTTTTTAAAAGGTTTGAATAATGTCGCAAGTCTGGGTCGTTTTAACTTCCAGAAAATGTACATGTCAAACTATCTTTTCAGTGCAAGCAAAGAGTTTGGCCTTTGATTGGATGCACGTCACGGTAACCTACACTGTAATGACGTTTATTGTTTTAACTGGATGGTCGTGTCGAATGTCAGCAGAAACCTACACCTATCTTATTTCCATCATTAAAGAAAGCTACTCGAGATCCTAGAGGAGATTACACAGATATGTTTCACAAATTTGATGGGATAAACGTGCACATTTTTGGGATAAACGTGTGCATTTGTTGGGATAAACTTGTACATTTGTTGGGATGAACGTGTACATTTGTTGGGATGAACGTGTACATTTGTTGGGATAAACGTGTACATTTGTTGGGATAAAGGTGTACATTTGTTGGGATAAAAGTGGGTATTTGCTGGGCATTTTTTTGTTGGGATAAATGGATACTTTTGTATATATCAGTAAATATGGAAAATAAGTAATGACATTAGGAAAAATAAAATATAATCAAAAAGTTTTTACTTATTTAGCAATGCTAGCAAGCTTATTTTCAGCGAAACGGGAATATTAATTTTCTAAATCTAACTCCAACAAATATGTTGATTTGAATTAAATGGGTCTCCATTTATATAAACAAACAACAAATGACAAAATAAAAGTTGGTGGAAAATGTAATACACTACAAACATAATGTAGGTCACCCTAAAAAAAAAACGTCGGCCAAAATAAACTGCTCGTCCATAAACGATTTGCCTTTGGGTTCCATCACTTTTTAAAAGCTACACAATCAATAAATTAATATATTTATTTCTTAGGTATGTAGGTCTATATTTGAGAAGAAAAAAATGTATTTATTGAATGATCTGGGTACTAACACGACAATAATATGTGCCTAACGAAGATCATCGGGTGGGGGGGGGACACCAAAGACCTTACTACAACCAAGGCTCAGGAGGATTCAACGCTAGTTATTACAATTTTAAAGAATACGGATATAGAATCCCAAGCCGCCCCAACAAAACACGTTACCCAAATAGATAATTTGAAACTATGAATTATCTCAAATGTGAATACTTTCTAAGCCTCAGAAGTCTCGAAGACAGGGTTTTTGAAAGACCCCACAGTCGTTTTTTTTTAAAGTCGGGACTTAGCTTTGATCGTGTGGAATCAATGCTAAGATCAGTATCTATAGATAAAAGAGAAAGTATGTGCGGGTCTATTATTCTGTCTTTTATTCTGTCTTTCATTCTTTTGGAAGTTGATGAGAATACTCATAGAAAGGTTTCAACGAAAAAAAAAAACAAATTTCGGAGGAGTGGCAGCCTGGTAGGGTGCAGAGTTTCTTCCAGGTATCTCTTCGCCCTCCCCCCCCCCAAAGATCGTCTACCCCCCCCCCCCCGAACGAAATGGAATTTATATAGAATATATATACTTTTACCAGTGTCCGCCCCCCCCCCCCCCCGAAAATTTTCTAGTGCCCACCCCTCCCCCGGAGAAAACAAGTCTGGAAGAAACACTGGTAGGGTGCGATGGGCACCAAGAGTTAACCTGTGACTATCTTAGCAACTGGGATATGCTGATTGGGCGTCCTGCACAACGGTCAAACTGCACCAAGCGAATTCGCCGGTCGGGTGTCTCAGTGCACCCCCGGGTTCCCACATGAACGCTATAGTATTCGTTTTAAAGAGCACACTACACGGTGGGCCGCTACGATGACTAAACCGAACAAGAAGTCCCACCGGGACCGGCGCCCCTGTGGATCAGAGTTTCTTCCAGGCATCTCTTCGGAAGAAAGTCTACCGCCCCCCCCCCCCCCCCGAACGAAATGGAATTTATATAGGAAGTATATACTTTTGACAGTGTGTCCCCCCGGAAATTGTTGTCCCCAACCCCCCCCCCCCCCCCCGAAAATTTCAAGTGCACCCCCGGAGAAAAAAGTCTGGAAGAAACACTGCTGTGGATGTTTAACTGGTGGTCGGGTGTCACCCGGTGCAGTAACTGTGGTTGTCACCTCACCCTCCATAAATTTAGTATTTTCAATTTTGTCTCACCTCTTTCTCTACTATTTCACTATTCTATATTATTCTATATAGATAAAACACAGTGTTTCAGAATTTTTTCTCGTGGGCGGGTGTCTATAAATTTTCCGGGCGGATACCGTAAAAGTATGTTCTATTTAAATTCTACTTCGTTCGGGGAGGGGCGGTAGAAACTCTGAAAACATTGTTTTGTCAGTAAGTGTTGCGATTTTAAAAAATTTGTTGTCACAGACGTAATGATGTCAAACGGCGCTCTTTTAAAATTACTGAGTTTGGTCCTTAAATCTAGATCTACACTAGGCCCAGTGTATTTTAGTTTAGAAAGCCTATTGTTTTTGAGTTTCGAACTTTTAAAATTTTTCCTTAAAATTTATTTTTAATAATACATTTAATAACACATTACATTAAAATGCAATTTAAAAGAGAAAAAAAAAGAAAAAAGCTCAATGTTATAGAATCTATAGCTAACTTTATTTTTCGAAATGCGTAAATAAGGCTAACTTTTTTGGAAAAGCGAAAGTTCAATAAAATTATCGTCTGCTCAGCTGGATAACGACTACGTTAGGCTTGCTTGTGAATCGCCATCAAAATTTTTTTAATTAAAAAGAAAAAATGACTGCATTTGAGGGTGAACATTAGATGTAGATTAGATCTATAATTCTAGGTCTAGAACTAAATATTAGATATAGATCTAGGGCTTAGAATCTAGATGTTAACTCTGTTAGTTAATGGCAGTTATTGAGTTAGGGCTGCTGTTAGGCCGGCCTACCTCGGCTTTTTTATCTCAATAAAAAAATAATAATTTATTAGCCTAATAAATTATTATTAGGCCGGTTATCTATCGACTATCGCCTAACTATCGTTTTATATTTTTATTTTATTTATTACTAGATCTAGTAATATACGAAAAAGTTACCTCATCATAATAAAAGATAAAATTTTAGGCCTATTAAAAACTTAAGCCTAAAAATAAAATTAATTCAGAAATTTAATATTTTTAGAATCAAAATGCTAGATCTAGATTTAGATTTTTTCTAGATCTATAGATTCTACAAGTTGCAGATCCAGAGACCTTGAAAATAATTTGTTGAGTTTAGGCTTAAGGCTACATTAATTATTTATTTTCATCAAGCCTAAGTTATAACCCGATGTTTCACTTTCATAAGACAAACATTGATTGGCTGTAAAGGAACTCCGTGATCGATTTCTGACAGCCCCACTCTATAGTTATTTTGTTTACAAAACTTTGCAGATCAAGTTTTTAAATAATAATGCAAATTTAAACACCATGACCTACTTTTTCTATTTTTAGCTTACAATGTGTACAATAAAATTTATGGCGGCCTATCGAATAGCAGGATGCCATTGTTTATGTCGCCATTACACGTGAAAACCAAATTCTTTTTGCTTTTTTTTAAATTTTTATTTAGTTACCGAAAATATTAAAAACATCAAATACATCCAATCTTTAATAAAGTACGAAAAAAAACCAGACCGACAGGATTTTATAACCATATTAATTGTAACTACGCCGTGCAAGATTTTAAAATTAATTTATGGACCTCTCAAATACCTTTGAGACTTTTCTTGCTGGTGTCCATTGGGCATTAGTATGATAGTTCTGTGCATGCGCAGTGACCTAGGGTTAGGGATAGGATAGGGTTGGGGTTAGGGTTCTGTGGTTGTAAACACATTGAAAACATCGCCGTGATGGCAAGTTGTAGATCTAGATCTAGACTCTAGTTTCTCTCCATTGCGCATGCGTATCTTTTTCCGGCTAGCATCGGCCAAATATTTTTATCAATAGGCCTATAGGCCAAAAATTAACTTTAAAATGCAGTGTTTGCTAGCAAGATTTGCTATAGTATATAATATATTATTATTATGTAAACAGCAGCCATTTGTAAAATAGAGTGGCTTCCCCTGAATCTGGCCCTATAAGTTTAAAAAAATAAATTAAACAAAATGTCTGCTATAGTAAATGAGCAGGTTTGCATCTGTTAGAAACATCGCTAGTCTTCATTTATTACTGAAAAGTTTAAATTCTTTTGTTTAAAAACAGGTACATAAATGAAACAAGGAAACATTTTTGTATTTTTCAAAACATAAATCCTCCTCAAAATGTGAAATAATTATTAAAACTTAAGGAGTCACCTGTTTTTCACATTACTAGTCACGGGTGATTTTACGTACTTAAAACGATAGATTACCATTAGTCCTAATAATTCTAGATTCTAAAAATCTGAGTCTACTCTCTAGATCGGTAATATTGTACTGTAATAGATTTAGAATCTAGATCTTCTTGGTATGATGGACATGACTCACATGATTATGATTGACTGAGTTGATGAAAATTCTTCCAACATTGATTCATTATTATTTATTATTATTATAATAATTACACTGTTAGGCCTACTATTAATAAATAAATAAATATGCGACCGTAAAAATTAAAAAAAATACAAACTTAAGCTTGAAAATTAGGTATTTGGTAGATCTAGATTAAATGGATTTTGTAAGCATTCATTATTATTTATCAAATTGATTATAAGGAATGTGTTGTTGTAAATGTTTTTTCTTATAAATATTTTATTGTGACAGTTGTGTATTTGTGTTGAAAAAGCAGCTGAAGTCAATATTATCACACTGCACATATTTCTCATTTTTTCAATAAAGTCATTTATTTGTTAACCCAAATTAAAACTTACAAGAACATTTTTGTCAACAATTTTTTACTGTTCATAAAAAAAAAGAGTTGCAATTTTAAAATTATGTGACTAAAATTTATTAGAAATTATTGTTCAACATACTTTTTTACATTTAGAGATGGGTGTTTTACCTGAAATAGCCAAGGCAGTTGAAGAAATGGATTGGAGGTTTGTATTATAAGTTACGATAATCTTCTCCACAAAATACCCACCAATTTGATTAATATAAATATTTATGCAATAGTCACTTGATTTTATATAAATTTATGGTTGACACCCAACTTTAGATCTTTCTTTGTAATATCTAGTTTATAGGAAAATACTGATTCTTTAACAAAAATCAATATCTTAAGCTACAGTAAAGGGATTGCATGGTGTAGCATTTGATTGCATGAGAGTGTGGATCTTTATACTATTGAGGTCTGCCTAGTTTAAGAGCATTGGTTATCTGGCTAAGCCCATATGAGAGAGAGAGAGAGAGAAAGAGAAACATTGTTCATTTTATTATTTTCTCACCCTTAATTATTAATTTCTCTTGATGTGCTTTGTCAGTGTCACACAGCTTAGAACAATCTTAGGTGTTTCCTTAGAAATATTCCACCTCATCTACATCTGTTCACTTTAACATCTTGTTTAACAAATATTATTTATTTAAATTACAGTTTGCCAACAGATGTTCAGGCTGAAGCAATTCCAATGATTCTTGGAGGTGGTGATGTACTCATGGTAATTTTCTTGTGCTTAGATAATGTTTGTTTAAAAATTACATTTGCTTTTGAGAGTATTATAGGTTTCATTAAAAAACATTTAATATAAAGTCAAAAAAGGTGTGGTTAAGTTGTCTGGCTTATTTAAACCAATGATGTAATGATTTTGTATACTAATAAAAGGAAAATAGTTTATTTGTGACTGTATTTTAGCTTGAATGATTCTAGTTTTAAAATAAATAGTTTTAAAATGGTATATTTCATTTAATACAATTTTTTTATCACCACATCAGGCTGCTGAAACTGGAAGTGGAAAAACTGGTGTAAGTATCACATGGCAAATTAAAGTTTATTAATTGTTTTTTTAGCATTTAAATTGATCCTGCTTTGTTTAGTAACAAGTAGCATAAAATCAAATATTACATATCTTATTCAAAAGCTTTAAGCTTAAGATGTGTAAAGATGAAACATTAATAAAAAACAACCTGTGCTTTTGTTATAGATATATTGAATCAAGTATGATTAAAACCTGTTTCATTTTAATAGGCATTTTGTTTGCCAATACTACAAACTGTGTAAGATGAAGCATTACTAAAAAACAACCTGCGCTTTTGTTATAGATATATTGAATCAAGTATGATAAAAACCTGTTTCATTTTAATAGGCATTTTGTTTGCCAATACTACAAACTGTGTATGAGACTATTAAAGATATTAGAGAAGGCAAAAGTGGACCTCAGAAGGGTGCTCAAAGTAGTGGAGGTAGGCTGATTGAGCAATAATAAATTAGTCTAAACTTCTATTTTCAAGTTAATAACAGTGGAAAAAATATACAATAGATAAGATTTAAAAATCAGAAGTGACATGTTTTATTGTGACAGCCACATTTGAGTTAAATCCTATTTTTTCATTAGGTGGATCAAAAGTGCAATGGAAAATGAATGTATATGACAGAGGAGATGCAATGGGTATGTATTTAAACTGTTTGATAAATTTAAAAAATTTGGCAGCAAAATCCCTCTAATTTTAATCAGTTGTTTGTGTGTTAATCTGTTTGTTTATTTGTAGTTATAGTTGAGATGTCACATTCATTTTTACATCCACTTTTTCTATAGCAATCAGTCCTGATGGCTTGCTTTGTCAATCTCGTGATCAACAAACGTGGAATGGCACAAGAAGCAATAAAGCAGTTTATGGAAAAGGTGACAATTTTTGGTTGGATATATAAAATGAAATTCACCGGTTTTTGTGCTTATTAATTGTTTAGTTTTTAACACTAATGACCTGAATAATTTACACTTTCCGCAGTAATTATTTTTTTCTTCTAGATTTAGTTCCTAGGCTGCAAAAAAAACTTTTCCTCCAAATATTTAAAATTAACCACATGTACATAAACTAATTGTAATTAAGTGCTCGACACTGATACAAATTTTAAGTCATTAGTTATTTATCAATGACAGGAAATGTTCTTTGTTTTAAAGGAGAGAAAATTATGAGTAGCTTTTTTACAGAAAATACATTTTCTTCTGTTGGGAGAATTTATGATAAAATGTTTTTAGTTGTATCTTATTCATAGAAAACAAAAGTACATTCATTTTTCTATTTAAGTCATGGAATAGATTAATATTAAGACGGATAGCTTTTTAGATAGAATTCTGCAGTGTTAAAAAATGAACGTTTTTGTCATACAGAAACACCATTTAAAAAGGCAGATCAAGCAGTATTGTGATCTAGGTTAAAATTTGTGTTTCATCTTCAGGCAAATACTATTACGAAGGTACAGTTACTGATGAAGGCTTATGCAGGGTGGGCTGGTCCACAGAAAAAGCCAAGTTAGATTTAGGTACTGATAAGTTTGGATTTGGTTTTGGAGGAACTGGCAAAAAGTCTTGGGACAAGCAATTTGACAGCTATGGAGAGGTAATTAAATACTTTGTAATTTACTTTACATGATAAGGTATTATGCACTGATTACATAAAACTATTAGGAGGATTTCATCAATGCGTTAGGGGTCATCCATTTATGACGACCACACAGATGTGCGGGACTGAAGGGGGTGGGGGATTTCGGGTCATTGTGGACATCCACAAAATACTTATATTAAAAAAACAAACAACTGGACACGAAATGTAGGTTATACATTAAATCTGCAGTTTTCGTGTTGAATATCCCCAGCACAACGAGTGAATAAATGTATCAGAAATGTAACTGTATACCGCCCTCATATGAAAAAAGCGGGAGGTTTTGTTATTTTGCAATCAGGAGGGGAGGGGGGAGCAGTGACATGGCAATTATTTAAAACATTTCACAGTATTTTAAACGTTTCAAACACTTAAAACATAAGTTTAAAAACAATTAGTTCTAGACTTCGATTGTGTAACTTAATCACAGTCTAAATCATTAATTTTTGTCAAAGCCTAAGATGACGCAGATCTAGATATTTTTTTCAAGTAAAAATGCTCAAAATAACCAGGTAGGGCTCACAGTCAGCGCGACTTTGACAAAAGGAGGGGGGGGGGTTGTTATGGAAACACATGTAGCGTAGAGCTGAGTAAAGTGTTTGGCCCACAGCATCTTCAGTTAAAAAAAATAGTGTTAATAATATAAGGCAGAAAAATACTATCAAATACAAAATCAAATGTTTAATATTTTGGACTTTTCGTTTGGTATTGACAGAAACATTTAAATAAAGCAAGCACTTATCACATAGGGCCTAATTTATACTAAGTCGTTTGAAATATGCTTATTTTTCTTCAACACTTTCTAGGCTCAACTTTTAATATTATTATTTGGGCCTAGTATGTATAGTAATAGATGTTACGGAAAATATCAAATCCTTTATTACATTAGCAACTAATAATGTAGTAAGGTACACATTACATGTTCTTATTAGTAATTTTGCATTATGTTTTGAAAGGTCTACTAAATTTTTGTGGACGTCGACATGGGGGGGGGGGGGGGGTTCTAAGATTCCAAATTTTTGTGGAAGTCATAAATGGATGACCCCTGACCAATCCTATATTCTTAGACTTGTGACCTTGTTTTTTAAAACTGAGTTATTTAACTGTAAACAATGCCTGCGCTCGGATCATATTTATCGGGGCTCAGGTCATTACCATGGGCGTGCTGTATGAAAGCTGTGAGTGTAAATTAATTACTCATCGTAATAGGTGTCATGGACATTGAGGGGCGCTCTCGGGAGTCCCCGATTACACTACCACATGGGCGCAGTGCACGGTCCCTGACTCTGTTTAAATAATCAAATGTCGTGTGCTACCTTGTCAATATTGTAGGGTGCTCCTTGAAACTAATGTAGGCGCCATATCGCTCATGGGAAAGCCAGGGCCGCCAAATCACACCCTCCCGGGTCCCCGGCAGACACTTCTGATTATGTTTAGTGAATGACTCTGATAGCCCATTTTGTCTATAGTCTATAGCACAGTTTAAAATGAATGTAGGTGCTATAATGCTCATAGGAAAGCCCCGGATGCCAAAAGGCACCCTGCTGTGGTGCCGCCCCTGCAAAATTTAAATATTTTTTTCGCAGAAATCCTCCACAGGAGCATTCTCAACAACTTCCCTTAGTTTTATGCCGTATTTGGTGAAAGGTGTAGTAATGCATAAAAGACAAACAAACACACGCACACATACTTTCATTTTTAAATATATAGACAAACTGTGGATGTGGTTGGGTCAGTAAAGGTCATGGTTGCTAAACCAAAAAATCTTGAGTTCGAACCCCCAGGCAGATGAGGCTGGATAGCAGGGGGACAGTAACACATGTTGAAGAGAAAAATAAAAAATCTTGTTGCTTGTTCTAGGATGAACATTAGACTTCGTTTGTCCATTCCCCTAATATGTAAAACAAAACTTATCCATAGACCACCAAGCATCTTTTTTGTTGTTACAAAATTTCTAAATGTCACAGTTTTGTACTACTTCTAATGCTACTACTAATGACTAATATATTAAAAAAAACCATGCTAATTGCATTAGTTTAGAGAAAACCCCTTTTTATATCTTTAATAGAAATTTGCAAAGCTTTGTATTGATTTTGAAATGATAAACCACACTCTTACCTACTTAATGTTACAAGATCCTCAAGGATGATGTTGGCACTTCAAATTCCATTCTTTTATTTCAGTCTTTTGGAATCAATGATGTCATTGGTTGCTATCTTGACCTTGAAAAATGTGAAATAAAGTGGTCTAAAAATGGTGAGTTTTTTTTTAGCAGTTTTGAAGTTTGCTTTGTAGCAATTTGGAAAATGTAGTTGATGAAAAATCCTTTTTATTGTTATGTTTATACTTGACATTTTTGTATTTCAGGTATTGATCTGGGTAAAGCTTTTGATATTCCAGGTCATTTGAAAAGTGAACCTTTTTATGCTGCTGTTGTTTTAAAGGTGAGGGCTCACAATGTTTTTGTAATAATTTCTTATAAAATCACTAAATCAGCAGTTGATAGTTCTTTTTGACTCATAAATTAAATGTTCAAGTCATTTTTGGGTGTCACTGAAAGAATATTTTTCATCTTTTGTGCCCCAAGTAATAAAAAAAAACCCCTGATCCTGTATTATTTTCTTTTAAGTGCTTTTATATGTTTGCATTGTTTTCTGCATGTGCTAACACCTAGTGGAAATTACTTAGTGATTCAAGTTACTTAAATCTAGTCCTCATTATGTTTTCTTGATGCACATATTGGTAAACATTTTAAAAATTTCCCAATGAAAGCAACACTATCAACAAATAAAAAATGATTAAAAAAATGTGTCTGTCTGATTTGTTGCGGTCATTTTGTTGAGAATGTTTTGTTATTGGTCATTAGGACACAGCAGGATTGAAAGTGTATTTTCTAGTGTTAATTGTTATTAGCTTTTCTTTCAGAATAAAGTTTGTCAAGTATTAGAATGTAATAATTTATCTTGTACTTTTTCAGAATGCTGAAATGGAATTTAATTTTGGGACCAAAGCATTTAAATTTCCGCCACAGGTAAGAATAAATAGTGTAAAAAACTAAGAATTTTTAAAACTAAGAAAGTGGTTTCAGGATATTAGGAGTTACTGCTATACCCCTGAAATCTGATTGATGCTCTATGTGTGGATTAATGTCCCTCACAATATCAAAGCTGAGCTAGAGGCGTAGCAACATATTCATGGAAACAAAATGAAATTCAAAAGACCCAACAAATTGAAGACGTGCTCTGCCTCGCACATAGTAAACAACAAATGCAGAACAAACTGGTTGAAAAAGCAGTAAAAATGGGTAGGATGATAGTGATATATACCAAGGTGTTCAGATTACAATCAGCAAAAATAAAAAGCTTGTAACTTTCTAAACCAATGTGGAATTCATATGCATTGTGAAGAAAACTAACTCAGGATCCTTAACAACATACGAAATCTGTTCTACTGTATGGCTTGCAGAATGAAATTAGACAGAGAAAATGTGGCATACACTAAGAAAGGCAGTTAATAACACAACTAAGCAGGCACTATAGTGAAATCCACAGGGAAAGAGGAAGAGAGGGACATAAAAAAGTCATGAAGAAAATAATTCAAAAGAGAGAAAAAAATAGTTGGTGAAGTGTTAACTCAATCAAACGCTCATCTCTTTGGTAAAACTTAATTACTCACTTAAATAATAACACATTTTTTAGTCCTAAATCATTTTACATATAGAAGGCTTGGTTATAATTTTCTGAAATACTTCAAATTTGGACCAAACCAGAGGCGTAGCGACCCTTCCCAGCGCCCGGGGACAAACTTTTCGATTTGCACCCCCCCTCGAGATTTTGATTTGCACCCCCCTCATACTTTCGATTTGCACCCCCCCCCCTCGAGATTTCGATTTGCACCCCCTCTCAAACTTTCGATTTGCACCCCTTCAATTTATTTTTCCAACCCATTTTGGTGCCCCCTAAGGTCGGCGCCCGGGGACATATGTCCCCCCCCGCCCCCCCCCCCCTCGCTACGCTACTGGACCAAACAGTAATTTACAAAGAACTATTTTCGTTATTTTTAACAACACTGGCTGGAGAAATCGAACACTATGCACTAATACAATTAGATTCTTTTAAGTGTTTTAAGATTTTTCTATGCATCTGTCCAATGTAAATTATTCTGATTAATGTTGGAAAAAAAGCTTCCTCACCCTTGTTGGATAAAGTTGGTGGGGAGTTGTTGCCGGTCACTGGCTCTTGAGAGTATTTGTTTGACTGTTTATTTGTTTGACTGTTACACAATCAAGATAGAAAACAGTTAAATTAGTGTAATGCCTAACTTTGACGTTCTATAATTCAAAACTGCAGTTTAAAATGAGCATTTTAATTTTTTTCTACCCCATGACATGGAACAACTTTTATTTTATAAATTTGGCTCCTTTGATAGCTTCATTATTTCCACATTACTACTGCAAAACCAAAAATTACCCTCAATATGCATACAAACATATCAGCTCCTGGAATCATAAAAATTGATTTTCTTTCAAACTTTGATTCGTGTTTCTTATGTTTTAACATTTTTAAAAATATGAATCTGAAGAAATATGTTTTTAAGACATTTTTAGACTTTTTTGCTTTTTAGTTCAAAACACGTAACAACTGCTAAAAAAAACATACACATCTTTATGGTGATATGTGTTTTTATTAAATTCACTTTAAAGGATTCTTTGTGAAGATGATAATATTTGAATCTACTTGGATACATCTGTATTTGAATGTAATATCACTTATGATGTTGCTTCATGTTTATTCTTTACTTTGATTGATAAATGTAAATATCCTCTTTGAAAACAAATCTAAGGTAATGCATGCAGGGGAGTAGTAAATTGAATAAACAGATACAGGAAAATATTAAATCCATGCTCATTAATGTATTGATCATTACATCTAGTCCTTATCAGAAGTCTACTATTATTTAATTAAGTTTTATGAGCTCATAAAAATATTTATCTACACTTCTCTATTTTCTTAATTAAGCGATTTTATTTGAAAAACAAAAACAAGGAATCTTTCAGAGAAAATATTTTTAAAGAATAGTAGAAGTAAAATTATTAAAATATTTAATAGCATAAAACTATTTTGTTGAAGAAATCTTATATATTAACAATACATTTTTTTAAACTAGGGAAAATTTGTTTTTTTAACATTAAAAAATAATTGAAAAGAAAAAAAACTAAAATAAAAACAACCCATAAAATAATCTAAGTTAGCAAAAAGTGGTTCTATAACTATGAAACAAAAAGATTTAAAAAATAATATATGAAAAACAGCTAACTGAGTTTGCCAGATATTATCATCGAACAGTTTTTCTTTGAGTTTTAGGGCTTTTTACAATATCAGCCACTGAGAGCAACTAACCTAAGAATTTATGTTTATGAGTAGTAACAGAGGATTCTGTTTCAACTAGAACATTGTTCTTTTCACTCTGGTCATATGCTTACAGCTCTTCATAATACAATGTTAGCTAATAATATCATTATAAAGTGTGTTGCATTTTTAATACATTAATTCTGGAAGGCTGGGTTGAAGAAAGTGCAGCTTTTTAACCAATTAATAATTTATTTTTGATCTATTCATCTAATAAAAAAATTATATATAAGGCCTACAGAATTAATTAAAATTAATCTAAAAAGTAAGTATACCAATGTAGACCTACTAAAATTCTATTCATACTATATTTGTGCAGGTTGTACTTGAAATTGATGCAAACGTTCTTTAATCAGCGTCTTTATATATATACATTACTAAATAAGCGTAATTTCAATTTTAAAGCTTTTTTTTTTTAAACACAGCAGGTTGATAATAGTTTGTTAGAAGTTAGGGTTAATTCAGCAAGTAGAAGTGTTCTGACAAACTCTAAAATACAACCGACAAGCACACATGGTCCCATTCGTTATTTTATGATAGGAAAGGCATAGGCCTGCATGATCCCATTTTTTTATTTCCATGTAAGAAATGCAGGCCTACATGATTTTTCAGTTATTTCCTGATTAGACAGGCAAACTTCGTCTCATTTGTTATACCCTGTTAAGACATGTACACGTGGTCCCATTTGTAATTTCCCGATGAAACAGCCACAAGTAGGCCTAGTCCTATATCATATTTCCTGATTTGACTGGCACACGTTGTCCCATTAGTTATTCCCTGATGAGACAGACGCAAGCAGATTCTAGTCCTATTTTATGTTTCCTTATAGGACGAGCAAAAGAGACTTGGTCCTGTTGGTTCCTTTTGAAATCCAGTTAGATCTCTACTTCACCTTGGTTTCTTTAGCTACTTTAATTACCCCTTATTTATTATATTGTTCCTTAATATAAAAATCACAAAATATCAACACTATAAAACAACCAAGTTAAATGTCGAAACATTAAGACCTATGTACGTCGGCTTTTTTTTCCCAGTAGGCCTACATATACATGACCTTTAACTACTATGTAGGCCTACTGGGTTTAGTAGAAGCTGTTAAATTGTAGGCCTACTGGAAACAAACCCCTCCCCCACCTGTCGTCTTTTTAATTTGGGAATATTATTATTTATATTACATACTGTTATTATATAGCTTTTTATATTACTAAGTAGCAATAAGATTCAGGAATAGGACTCAACTTTAGCTGCAGTTAACATTAGGTAATCCCTAATGGAGGCAGGGACCATTAGCAGCTTTTTATCGATTACCCGTAGCCAGAAGTTCGCAAAACGTTTATGGTGGTGTTAGGGGCTGGCTGTTAGATTTTAAGTATCGTTTTCTGTGTAAGTTACATTAGGTCTGTCCATTCCGGAGTACCCATCTAAATTCTATAGTACCTATTATAATCTTATTGAAGTATATAGTATCTTTTGAATTATTTAGTACCAGTTTAGTATCAATTAAAACCCTTTGATTCCTACTTGAATTATATAAGTAAGCATGTTGATTATTTAGTTACTATTTGTTTTATAATACCAATTTGAATTTATAGTATCCATTTGACTATAGAAATGAGCAGTCTGATTTAACTTTTTATTGTAGGGTGGATATCAAGCACTAAGTTCCGTGGCTTCTGAAAATTGCAAAGAGTCAAAGATAGCAGGTTAGTCTTTGTTTAAATGTGCGTTGTCTTTTAGACGCCTCATCTATAATCCAAAGTCGTAAAAAGAGGGGGTGGGTGGTGGGATAGTGACGTATTAAAATTATTAGGCTTATAAAATATTTCTTTTATTCAACGATCACCTCTATTGCTTTTCTATAAATACCATGGCGCAACTTATTTTCTCTGTACTTTGTAATGTTTGTGGGCGATCGAAAACCAGTCCTAGGCTAATAACTACAGTTAGATTGATTGTTTTAAAAAAATATTCTTTAATGAATATTAATTGCTGTTCTCATGTACATCTCCACAAAGACATCGCTCATCCTGATATTTGCGTGAGGTGTAAAAATAGTAACATGAGATTACTTTGAAATCCGCTGCGATCAATACTTTGTGTAAAGAATTTTTGTTTGCTTTAATCTAAGTACCAGACCGTGTATCCTCTATAGATCAGTGTAAAACCATTTTCTTCAAAAGTTTTCTCTCGTTAATTGGTCTACGTGAGGTCGCAGCACACAACTTTTAGGCCCATCTCACTAGGGAAATTGGTTATTATCTATAATCTTTGTATTAATCGTAATAAAAGTGAAGCTGTGTTGCTGTTTTATACAGAGAATATAACTCTTTTGATACAGTTAGTGGAATAGCAGACAGAACCGAATAAGCTGAGAAAATAGCCACGGTTACAAATAAGGTTACGATCCCAGCTGATGGCACATCTGTTCACATTACAAGGAAACAAAGGCCACATTTTTTACGTGTCAGTCAAAAGGCTCGCCTCCCTGTTTTCCTGATTGCTTCATTTCGCTTCCTGTTTTGGGCAACCCGGCACTTTGTTCTTGCTGTTTCACCTACTTCAATTCTTCCCTTTTTTTCTCTTTTCCAATACTTAGCAAATTGAAGCAACTACAATTATATTATGTAGTACACGCAACTCAGCTAACATAAATGTGTTGTTTGTGATAACATTTTTGCATTCGTATTAAGTATTTATAAAGTAACAAAAGTGTTTTTTTTCGTTGAACTTGAAAGAAAAAAAAAGTTTCATATCCGTATTTCAATATTTTTATACTGCGTCGATGTGTTTTTAGCTAATATACAAAATCACGGACTACACTGTATGAACCAATTTTTCTGTAAAATTATTTCTTTAGTTTTTTTTTTTAAATGTTGACCTCATTCACCTCTTACTATAATTTTACATTGTTTTTTCTACATTCTTAGTTTTTTTACGGAACATGTTTTGTCAGAACTTTAACTTATCAAGGACCCTCAATAAAACTTCCCACATTGCAATAACAGCTAAATCTAAGGTATTTTAAGAAACAATGGCCAGCTTATTAGCTGTGTTTCCATTAAATTTAGTCTGGTTTTGAAGCACGCCAACGTGGTCCCTTAGCTGCTTTAGAAATGTAATGACTGCAGTCACATTCAGATAGTGAACAATTAAATATTTTGTTTCCATCTCCGGATAAGGTACCACCTAACCTTATTACTTGTTTGTGTGTCAAAAAAACCTGCCGAGTATAGAACACAGTTTTTTTAGGCCTGATGAGAAACTGCCATTTTCGATATTTCTAGAAGAAATAACAGTGAATCGTCCAGTTTCATTTATCATGAAAATGTTTTCCTGTCGAATTCTATCAGTTTAGAGTGGTTATGCATAGAGTAAAATATTCTGACGTTGAAAGAAGCAACGCAGCTTCCTCCGCTTATCGCCTCTCATTATAAAACGGGTCATTGAAGACTATTCCACAAGATCCTAACTCGCCAATCTGTGAACTCCAACGCCCGAAGGCTTGTCATCTTTAGCAAGTCATTGTCTGTAGCACCGAGATTCGTCTGTCCATTTGAGTGCATGTTGAGGCTTAGCACCCCAGGGGGACTTTACTCAGATATTTGTCCTTACTTTGACCCTTACACCAGTGCAAACATTTCACAACCCACACGAAGTTTATGATGTCTAGACGAATTTCTCATTACATTCACACTTGTAGGGTCCCGCTTTACTTGATCACCACCTTCACCGACGGATTACATCTTATTGTAGAAATCATGCATTCAGTTCGTAACCGACTGCGTTGTAGAAGACAATGATCGATATTTATATAGCTTTTAATGACGTCTTTCCTTGAAACTAATACAAAATTTCCTTATTGTTTATTGAAGTAAATAACTGATAACGATACTTCTACCCCTGATGATAAAGTAAACGAAGCATTCCAACATTCCTTGGCTTATTGCGAAGTTTAAAGCTTCAAGGGCTCTTAGTCATTAATTTTATCTGCATGACAAGGCACGCAACATTTCTCATGGCGATATAATACAATTTAAACTTTAACCATCCAGAAGAAGCGGAGGAGGAACTGTAATCAAGCTTATATTTCTTGTATCAGAAAGTAACTTCACCAAGTTTTAACTTTCAGGAGCAGAACGCTTGAATCCAGTTGCCTACAATATATTAAACGCTGAACCAATTTCAGCCGGTCATTTTGAGACGTTATGTGTACCGTTGTACAGCTTATAAAGTTTTAATAGACACAATAGAAGTGTTAAATACTTTTGCTGAATATCCTTACATGCTCAGCTACTACAGAATCTTCACCTTTTTATAACAGCTCACCTCTTTACCTAGCTGTGATATTTTTTTTTGAAAACGAATGTAAAAAGTAATTCTAGACTAGCAACCCTGTCAGTGAACTGATAATCACATGTCTTTTGTATGATTGCTTTTTTGTTTTACAATAGAATCTGCCCACGTTGCTCCTTATCAATCTTTAAATAAAGCAATAATCTTTATATACTGCTGGGCTCTGGTTTAAATGTATAAGCGTATAACATAAAGGGAAGTCATCGAGCAAGCAGGAAATGATAACATTTTTTCCTTGTTCTAAATTTATCTGCTGGCTGAAAACCGTTTTTAACTTGTTTTTAAAACAATTGAACCAACTTTGCATTTCCTGCTTTTGAATGCATGTGAACAGCGGAGCTAGAAATCTTATTTTACAAGAAGCTGTTTCTCTAGGCTAATACACATTTAACATATTGAGCAACAAATATATACAATACAGACTTTTTACAGCTTTAACATTGAAGGTGGAATAGATGGTTGTTTTTAAGTTCAATTGTGTTACATAGAAACGACTTTTTATCTCTTTAATTTAAATTTGCTGATTTGTTGCATTTTATTTTACTCACGCAAACAGATAACCGGAGAACTTTCATGTATAGGCCTACTGTAATCATGTTTAATTAAAGTTCTACTAAATTTCCAGGTACAACGGTATTAATGATTGAGTTACACTTTCTATGTTTATTAAACTAAAATAATCCTTTTGGTAGGTTATGTATGTTACGGGTCAGTTGTAGGTTAGATAGAAATAGGTTAGAATAATCTAGAATTAGGGGAGAGTGCGTGTGTGAGTTGAGTTTACCCTAGAGTATTGTTAACCCCCGGTGTGTTTATGTATTGTTATCCCAAGGTCGAATGCGGTATAAAAGCTGGAGTGAATGGTTGTAAGGGGTTAGTTGGTAGCGGTTAGGGCGAGGGCTACTCTGTTATGTGAAGAATTGAGTCACGGCGTCACGGTTTTGGTTAAGGTTAAAGTATAGGGTTATTTTATATTATGGAAATATAACAGACACACACACACTCACATGTCTGTGTGTTTGAAGTTATTGAAAAATGAAACATAAAAACCCTTATAAAAACTGTATAAAATATTTGTATTTAAAGAAGATTTATGTGAGCAGGAAATCAGACTTGCCTCAATCGTTTTATTGATCGAGTTCTAGACATTATTCGAGAGGCTGTCTAGATGCAAAACTAATTTAATTTTTTTTATTTATGGCATTTTTTAATATATATTAGTATTGGCATTATGTTTGAACCTCTACGTTCTAGATATGTAACGTCACACTCCTAGGGGGTAAGTAGAGAGGTTTCTTTTATAAATATGGGGGGGGGGGGGGGGGGGGAAGAGGGGTTAAAAAAATGTAACGACACACTTTTGCAATTAACAAAGTAATTTCTCATTTTTAAATGCTTTAAAAAAAATGTAATAAAAATTGATCCATTTTATATGGACGACCTATAATTTGTCTTCGCATATTAAGTAATGTATTGTTGTAAAAGATATTTCGACTCGAAATCACCGTAATTATAGCTACATGCTGCAAATGCAGTTATTCTTTAGCAAATTTATCGTATTGTTAGACGCGAAAGCGTGTTTAAATGCTTCAATTGATATCTCAAAGAAGAAAAAATCTTTTTCCGTGATTGATCATCATTGAACCGACTTTCAAATTAAAACCCTACAGCTTAATTTTAGATCCCGTGGATCCGACAAGAGAACTTGTTCAAATTGATTTTAAAGCACAATTTGTTAAGCTATTTTCATTTTTATAAGAAGCCTTTGCACCTCTTAAAAACTATCATTTCTAGGAATGTATTAGATAAAATATACCTTTCATGTGCCCATTAAGTGTTATTCATAATGACCTCCTTTTGGAGGATTCATTAAAAAAATTGACATTATCGGTAAAGTGTTTTTTTTTAAAGAATGCCGTGGCTGTTCAGCCTTATAATTTATAAACTTATATACAAGAATTAACATGTTCTTAAAAACTCTTAATATATCCATATATTACTTGTAGCAGTATGTCAATTGTCTCTCATGTGTTTCTATTGTAGTTTATAACTGAGTTGGACTTCGAAAATTAGTTATAATGAGTTTTCAAAAGTTTTTCAACTGCTTTTGTGTCAGAAAATTTTTTTGAACAAAGCAATATTAAAAAAAAGTTTGGGGGGGGGGGGGAGGAGGGTTATTTGTTATAAAACTCTGAAAAGGCACAGTAAAATGCAATATTTGAAAAAACAATTACTTCAATTATACATATACATACATATATATATATATATATATATATATATATATATATATATATATATATATATATATATATATATATTATAGGGCTATATATAATATAATAACATT